TCACTTGTTTACATTACACTCGTCGAAATGTGTGCCCTTTTGTGGCAAATCTAGTGTGGCCTCATCACACTTGCTATTTATCCCCTCTCTCCCTTTCATTGTCTCGTAGATCCGTTCCTTATCTTTCTGGTTGACCGATTTCACTCGGTTCCAGCCCCTGTGTGCAATTCACTCCAGGCCCCTATTTTTCAAGGCCCTAGAAGCACATACACTGCCGCTTCACTAAGCAGAGCGCCTAAGCTCTGATTCCCATGCTTGCAGATGTCAGGCCTTCCCTTCACGGGTCGTCTCTTTGATTAAACCCATGTTATCTGAACAAACTGTGGACGCCTATCTCCGGTCGTATGCGGCATCTTAAGTGGAATTATCTTTGTCTGCGACCATACCAAAGGCAACTACATCTTGGTCTTCATATCTTCAAAGTACATTAAGTTTAATGAAAGCAAACAATATGAACCATTTGCATGCCTATACATATTATTCTTCTTCCTCCCACGATAGTAGTTGTGATCAGTATGCATTAGGCGATCATTCGTACATACAAATAAAGCATACTTTTGAAGTGAAACAAACTTACATACTCCTCTATTTTATGCCATATATGCCTACATCCAGCTTAAGATGTTTGATCCAAAGTTGGATAGTTACTGAGAATGAAATTTTATGCTGAAAAGGAATACTAAGTGAGTGTCCATCATTACATAGCGAAGTGCATACAATATAAAGAAACATGTGAGATTTGGGTTTCCATTTTATCCGAAATAATAAGACACGATGCAATTTTGAAAAAGACAGCAGATATGCCTCATATCGAACGCTGAATATGCTTGTGGTTCTAAAGGGATGTCATATGAGCAAATGTGCCGTTTTAAACGATGAAGGTAGAAGAAGTACGCATCTATACAAGAAGGGCCTTTCCCACAATAAAAAGCGATTAACTTCTGTATTTATGCTAAAGAAGTAAAAGTGATAGCCAGTTGTTCTAAAGGCAATCGTAGAATGTATACCGATAATTAGTCGTGAAGGCCTATGGAAGAAAGGCCCGAATAGCATAGCAATAGGGCATTATGAAGAAGAGATTCGACTTGTCAAAAAATAATTGGATGAGATAAAATTAAGCGTTACAATGTTTCAATATGGATTACTGGTATTAAACCAAGAACAATAGAAAAAAGCCGTGAACTATACGCATTTATCACGGATATATTACATTAAAAAATAAAGGAGATAAGATTGACCATTTATTCACTCTGTGCCTTTACAAACGACTATTTCTTGCATTAATACAATAAGCAAGTAACAGAGGAATGAAGCAATCAACTTTATAAAAATTATTACTCTTAAGGCTCAAGGCAAAATGCCTGCACACGGGAGGGCATTTATTTTTAATAATAAAAGGAATTAATAAAGAGTCCTTCCCGGAATCTAAAGGACTGCCTTGTAGTTTTGACTGTAGACTTATGCGAATAAGTCCTCGGTAGACCGTCCAGCGACTCCGATGAATCCGTGCTGAGCTTTCACCTGCCATGTGGTAGACATCGTCGGAGAGTCACGGCATGCTTTACTAAAGTTCACTAAGCACCAAGACAGGACGGGGCGCCAAAGTCTTATTCGCACAAAGATATGGTTACAGTTACAAGACAAAGCTCCTACGGTTTCCGGCAAGCCTAATTTACGAATTCCTACCACTCGCCATTTGAAACGAAACGAAGGGTACAACAATATGCATTAATTAGGCGATCATTCGAAATCTATAAGACCCCAACGGCAACAAAAATATTTTAAAATTTCGAGTAGGACATTGAGCTGAATAAGGAGAGATCTCGTAAGTTGGCAGAGAAAAATGAATTAAGCTTACCTACAATTCTGGATTTGCGCTCCTCGGAGGTCAATTTGAAGACGTCCTCTCTCTCTCCTGCATCATCAAAGTAATGTGTTTCTATTTCAAGCTTGAAGCGCTCAACAAGAGGTACGGAGTAACGAGTCTTAGTGTAAGGATAAGCATTCCATGCTTCCTCTTCTACACGAAGAGCATAGCTAGGAATAAGGCTTCGTAACCAACCTGTAGTTAGTCGATACAAAGATATAAAGGGAAATTGGCATAAAGGCAAGGGAATATCTACAGTAAATCCTCAAACAAAGGATTATTAGATAATAAGGCATAATTATTGAGTTAAAAATAAATAAATACATGTATCATTGTATATGCATAAAGACTAAGTCGATAACGATTTAAGGATGTTTTCGCAGTTTCATTTTGCTGCTAGTTCAATCCTGGCCTAGGGAGGATTAACTATAAGAAGTAGGTAGATTTAAAGCCATACACCTTTCTTGCCTTCGTGTCTGGTGAATTTTCGTTAACCATGGTGTCCTGCTCTGACGAAGTCCATTACATGACGGAAGAAAGTTCAGTAAGGATTCATCGCGGTCGAAGGGCGGTGCGCCGTGGACCTATTCGCACAAATCTACAATCACAGCTCCAAGACAATCCCCCCAGAGCTTCGGGTGGACCCAACTTACGAATACCTTCCACTCGCCTCTTCAGACGAAATCAAAGGTACTTCAATACCAATCTATTAAGGGATTCTTCGAAGTACAGTTTTTCTACATACCTACGATTTGAAAATGTCAAAATTGGCGAAAACTGTGCTTGTTGCTTATGAAAACTTGGAGGGAAACAGCAACCAATCAGATCATAAAAAGGGAAGACTAAATCAAGGACCTGTTTTGAATCGGAAGAGATTCTCGAAAGACTATCAGAACTGAGTCAAAAATTGAGATACAGCTACTAAGAAAACGGAAAATTTACGTGATAAAGAAGAAAAACACAATAATCTTTGCCAGCCTGTTGACGCAACACGAGAAAGCTGACAAACTGGATACAGTGATCAGAAATATATTGTTGAAACAGGAAGAAAAATCAGCCTACTAATCCAGGCACATTGAGGACTCTGCAGAAACATGGATAAGGAAAAATCCAAAATAGTGAAGCATATTACACGGTCGGGACAATCTATTGGAAATCGACAGAAAGACTAGCTGTAAAGGGTGTACATACAAGAAAACGAAGATTCGTAAGGCCCTCAGTATCCTGATTGAAAGAACTCTAATGAGCAGGATTCTTGAAGAAAGCAGGATTAGCGAAAACTTTGCATATTGCTTAAGCAAACTAGGAGGAGATCAGGGAATAGCATGATTAGCCAGAAGAGGATAAACAGATCAAGTAAAAATATTAAACTTGAGGAAAAGAAATATTGAGGAGGCCACAGAGAAAGAATCCAAAATCAAGAAGAGACTATCACATTTTGGAGGTTGGCACACAAATGACTAGGGCATATGAAAGTCATAGACTTGGAATTATAGATAAAAGCTCGAGAGCTTCTGCAGAAACCAAAGATAGTTGAAACTATGCAGGGCTTTGATCATACACGTGATACGTAAAATAAAGGCTTGATGACGAGATCTACCCGGTGCACACGCCGAGCCATGATAAGGGAATCAGCAGTGTCAAGCCAAATTTCCATCAAGCGTGAGAATCCAGACTTTGGGGGCCTACTCTGTGAGGCAGGCGTATACGTGCTATCAAAGGATTGAAGCAAGTGTAAAACATAACGCCTCGCGTAGCTCGGATATGTTGGCAGCTAAATCGCTGAACCAGGCCGATAAAATACGGATCTTAAGGGGCAAGAATGAGACCGATAGAACATGGATGAAGAGGATTGCGGACTAAAAGGACCGGGTGGAGTAACACTACAAACGAAGTGGAAGGGGATTATGAGACCAACAGGTAGTGTGAATAGGTTTGCCCACCAAATCCACTCATAAAGCCACACATGAACTAGGTTAAAATGAGCAAGTAAGCAGTTGCGATAGGGAAGGGGGTGATACGAGGATATGGAATAGGTGAATGCACCAGTACAGAAAGAGATATATAGACGGTTCGTTAAAGGATAGACTTTACTTGTCGCCTAGTTGAGTTGTAGTTTGCTGTAAAGACTGATAATGCCCATCGACGATGTCGACTCCGATACCTGAAGTGTACCAAGTCTGGAAATTATCACGGCTACTATGGCTCCTGAGCCAGATGCTTTCTTCTAGGTCATCCTGACAATGCGACCAAGTTGTGAAAACAAGGTCAAATAAATTATATAAAAGAAGATTGATTGTAAGGACGAGGACTTTCCTGCGACAATAGCCATTGCACGGATAATTACAGTGAATGTAGTCATACCAATGAAATAGCTACAACATTTAAGGATTTGGTGCACAGCGGATTAGGTTGAGGGATAACAGCAAGGATAAGAGAAATGTTCCGTTATCAAAAATAGATCGCGGCGAATTCGGCCGGAAATCCTGTAGAGAAATTCAGCGGAGGTCACAGACAAAAGTCCTCAATTGGCTTAGGTAAAAAGGGATACAGCATGGCGGTGGTCGACGAAGAAGGTACCTAACCATAAGATTTACCAGCCGATATATATATGTATACATATACTAAACTGTGATAAGGGTTCCTACCCCTTTAAAGCTTATAGTAATAGACTAGTGTAAGCAAGAATGATTTGCTCTGCGGGGCTACTGCATACATATTATTAGTCACTTAAGGCAGATCATGCAAAATAAGGCCTCGTGTTTAATAGATATAGGAGATAGGATAGTTCTAGTCACTAAGAGGAATCTGATAAGAATTGAGGAAAGTTTTCAGGCTGAAAAGGTTAAGTACAAAATAGGCACAATGGGAATGTGATTACTGCAAATTATACGACACCAACATGGCACTTATCTAGATTATAATAAAATAAGCAATGTAAAATTTGTGATACGAAGATATGAGATAAGAAAAGGTGCTATTATAGAAGGAAAGATATTAAAACCGTTCATCAGAAAGCGAATCAAGGAATGGACGTCTCTTTGACCAGTTAAATCATAATGGTGATACTAGCAAGGGTCACTGAGGATGCAAAGCGTCTGTTAATGCAGCAAATCCGCATTAACATGTCACGGCATAGGACGCCGAGATCTCCTCAACAATTCGACCAAGTTGCGAAAGCCAAGTGAGACCAAGTAAATATAGAGAAAGTTGACTGCGACGAAAAGAGATGCCACAACTTCTTGGTCTTCATACCTTCGATCAAAATAACCAAAGGCAAACACTCTCAAAGCCTTGACAGGCTGGGGATGCTTTTAAAGTAAAATAGCCGAACCAGTGTCTTTTAAGAATTGATAATAAAACTAAAATAAAAAGTGTGTAACAGATGT